AAAATAAACATAAATATATATATATATATATATATATATATATATATATATATATATATATATATATATATAAAGTAATGATTGCTAAAATCACGATATTACAACAAGACATAATGAAGAACAATATACAAATGCAGCCGAAAGTTTAAAAAGAAGTATTTTAAAAACTTTTCCAGTTGTAAAAGTATATTTAAAGCCTGTAATATTTGATCCTTTATCTCGAACATTAGAGAATATATATAATAGAAAAAGAATAGGTTATATATATATATAATAATTTATAAATAAAATTAAAAATAAAAAAAATAATAAAATATATAACAATTATTAAAAATATAAATATAAATATATAATAATAAACAAAATAATATATATAAATGTATAAATAAATATATATATATATATATATATATGTATTTATATATATATATATAATTATTCATAATAAAATTTAATTTACGATTTTATTTTTTCAGGTGCATTTGAAATATTTGTACTATCAAATAGAAAGAATAAAATAAATAATTCATGTGTATATTCTAAATTATCAAATGGTAAATGGCCAGATGAATAGGAAATACTGAAAGACTTAAGATAATATATGATAACAATTTCATTATAGATTTAATTAAAATTATAAGATTTTAATTTAGAATCTATTAGTGAAGATAAATTAACAAATAGAATTGTGAATAAATTATTCGATATTGTTGTTACTATAAGGCCCTGTAGATAAAAAAAATAAAGCATAGAAAATGTATCAAGTTTGAATTAAAATAGTAGCAGAACTAATTATAAAAATGAAACTGAAAAACTAAAAAGTTCTTTCAATATTAGTAATATTAGTGTATAATAATCTAAACATTTTAATACTTAGAATGGATAATAAACTAATATTGAAAATGTGAGTTATAATTCAGAAATTTTTAGAGAAAAAACTGATAAAATGGGTATTGTTTAGTTCTAAAATTTACCTTATGATGTTTATATGCTTGAAATTAAAGAAACTAATGATTTTAAAAGCTTTAAGTAATAAATTGATATTTTTTAGATTGTTAAAAATCAAGAAAGTACAGATTTAGTGATAGAATTGTAACATTTTAATATGAGTTTTCTTAAAATTTAGGCTAATGTGAAAACATTAAAAGATGAAAGTGACAATTTGAGAAACGCAAAAATATATATTTTATAAAACGATCAAGGTGTATATTAATTGGCAATATATAATAAATAATTATATATATATATTATATATATATATATATATATATATTTTTTTTTATAGTATTGTTAAATGATAATTTCAATGGATTTTTTTGTGTTAATTTAGAACCGGGATTTTATAAAATAAAATTAGAAAAATAGGGTCATTAAACTATAGAGGAAAATTATATAGCGAAACCTGGATAATGTGAACTATGTTTAGGCCCTATGATAAAATTTATAGATAATGAACCTAAATAAATGGATAATAAGAGCAGATTTTAAAATAGACCTTCAAGTTCTGCTAGGAAAGGAATTTTAAAAAATGAAAATTAAAGTAATTTTAAAAAGGATGAAGGCTAAAATAAAGATGAATTTGTAGATGAGTTTCCTTTTAATAAAATTTAATAGATTAAAAATAAAGATTTAGTATTGTTAAAAATGCCTAAAGATTTCAATACATTTAAATTAACAGGTATTTGTGGATAACAAATTATAAGCTTAGAAGTCATTTCTCCTAGTAATGATATAATAACGAAAAGTAATAAAAGTTTAACAATTTAAAATGAAGTAAAATAAAATAAATTCGGTTTGTCATTAAAATTTAATGAAGGTAACATAAATATATATATATATTTATATATATATATATATATATATATTTATATATTTTCAATAATTATTTTTACTTTTTTATTATATTAAGAATTTTCCAAGGGTATATGTAGAATTTATGCTAAAATATTAAATAATTAATAGTTTAATTAGAATAATTTAAAATTATATGCTTCTTAATCTAATAATAGTATATTAATCGAAGTTCCTAAAATATAATAAATTGATTTAGATAAAGTACTTTATTGGGATATAGGAATTGTTGATTGTAAAAATATTTAATTAATTTATTTATAATTTTAATAATAGGTTAAACTAAAAGATTTTACGAATTAAATAATTATACTATATAATAAATTACTAAAGATATGCTTTTATTTGAGTTTTAAGAATTATTAAATTTTCTTAATGCTTCTAGGCCTGATATAAAGAAAATTCTTGGTATTTTTTATTTAAACATTTTAACCTTATTTTTACATTATTATTATAAGGATTTAATAGTAAAGAAAAAATACAATTTGAAGATGATATTTATTTAAAGAAATAAAATATTATAAAAAGCCTATAAGATTATGAATTTAATATAGCTAAATAAGTTGATTATTTTTTAAAAAGTGCAGCTAATAATTAAGACTATTATTCTTTTAAAAAATTAGAATTTAAATTAATTCATAAAGAGTTAGAAGATAATAGATGTAAATTTATAGATGATAATTCTATTTAAAATGATAAAGATGAAGACGAAGAATAATTTGAAAATTTTTGTTGATATATAATGATTTTTTTTATTTTATTTATAAGTTATTATCTTTTTTTTTATATGATAAATATAAATTAAAATTATTATTATTATTGTAATTTTATAAATACATAAAAAAAAATTTTTGTTTAGTAAAAAAATATATTTAAAAAAAAAGTTAAAATAAAATTTTTAATTAAATATAACATAAAAAAATATTTGTATAAATTTATTAGAAATAAAAAATATATATAAATAAAAATTGTATATAAATATATATATAAATAGATGTATATATATAAATATGAATAAATAAATAATTAAATAAATATATATTTTTATATATATTTATATATATTTATATATATTTTTAAAATTATATTATATTTATTAAATTATATTTTTATATTATTATATATATAAATTTTTTAAATTAAAATCTTTTTATAATATTTTTTTTTAAAAAAATATTTCATATATTTTAATTATTATTTTTATTTGCAAGATCTTTCAATAATCCTATTCTGTAGTTTTTTTTTTTTTTTTAGTTATTATTTATATTTTAATTATTGTTTTCTTTATTCATTTCTGATATATATTAGTAAGCTTAATTATTTATATTTTTAAAATTTATTTCATTAAAATATTAGTCTTATTTTAATTTAATTTATTCATCCATTTTATCATCTTCTTCTTCTTAAAGTTCATAAATTAAATTTTAGTTTTATGAATTTTATTCATATTAAAAGCTTTATAAAGTATTTTAGTTATCATAAAAATTATTAGTATTTAAAAGTGTATTATCATAGTTTTCATAAAGATCTTAAGTTTTTTATAAACTATAGAAATCTTTACCTTTAATAAAATATTTTTATTTATATATTAATAGAAAATACTTGAAATTTAAGTTTCAAATTATTTTTTATTTGATATATTTTAAATCTTTTTTTTATTATGTTCTTTCAATAGTAATTTTACTAAATTAAAAATCTTTTTTTTATTAAAAAAATAAAGTTTTTTTTTTTAAAAAAAAATGTATTGTGAACTTAATCAAAATCTATATATTATTCATTTAAAAATAAAGGATGCTCTTCGAAAAGCTTTTAGGTAATATTTTTGGCTTCATTTATATTTATTAAATTATTTAAAAGGATATAGTAAAGTCTTTTTTTTTTGTATATAAATTAGTTTTATATAACATTGCAATTGTAGGTGGATTATATTTGATTGCTAATTATATTGGATAAATTTAATTTTTTAATTAGAATTATTTAATCATTTATTTATTATTTTTTAAAAATAATATTATTAATGTTTTTTTTTAAAAAAAATAAATATTATACTAAATTATTGTAAATTAAAAATAAAAAAATAAAAATTTTATAGTATTTTTTTATAAATGTATAAAAAAACAACATAAAAAATTAAAACTATGAAGAATTAAATAAAAATAAATAAAATATTGATTATTATACAAATAAAAGTTAACAAAAGTCAATAAAAGAAGAAATAGAATTTGATATGAAATAAAATAGTTAATAATAAAATAATTTATAATATTAAAAAATAATAAATAAATAGAAAACATGAAATTACTTTGTTAGAAATTTAAAAATAAATTAATTTTAGTTAAAAAATATAGTTAATGTAAGAAATTATGATAAAAAATAAATATATATATATACGAAAAAATAAATATGTATATATGTATATATATAAATATAAATATATATATATTTATAAAAAATAATTATAATTATATATTTAAATATAAAAATTTATATATTTAAATTTATATATTTATTTTTATTTATATTTTTTATAATTATTATATATATTTCAAATATATTTATTTTAAATATAATAATATAAATATTATTTTATATATAATTTACAAAAAATAAAATAAATATTAGTTATTATTTATTATTTGATTTATTTTTTATTTTTTTAAATTTTAATTAGTTAGTCTTTAATGGAAAGAAAGAATTATTAGTATAAGAAATAATTTTTTTTAATGTTATACATTTAAGAATAATTTAAATTATTAATTATGTTTATAAATAGAAAAATAAAAAGAATAATAAAAATAATAAAATAAAAATATATATAATTTAAATAATATAAATAATTAAAATAGTAATAATAATAATAATAAATATAAAAATAATAATAATAATAATAATAGTAATAATAATAATAAAAATAATAATAATAATAATATATAATATTCATAATTACTAATTAATAACTTAGATAATAATAAAAATGATAATACTTTAATTATAGACGAAAAATTTATAATATATTTAGAATTAAAAAAAGAAATTGAAATTAAATATATAACTAAATTTGAATAATCTATATTTTAAGATTATAATATATAAAAATAACAAATATTAATTTATATCCCTAAAAATAAAGTAATCTTTTATAAAAATTCAAAAAATAATATGAAGAAAAATGAAAATTAAATTAAATCTATATAAATAAAAGAAGAAATTAATTGGATGTTTGAAATGGAATAAAAAAAATATGATATAGATTAAAATATTTAAATAATGTAAAAAATATTTAAAATTATATAAAATAAATATATTTATATTTTGAAAATATACATTATAAAAAATATATGTAAATTAAAAATTTTTATTTAAAATATATAAATATATATATATATATATATTTATACATATATATCTAGAAATATTTAGAAGATTTCATTAATATTAATATATCAAAAGATAGATAGATTAACATATAATAATAAAAACATGAATAAAATTAAATATTTATATTTCCATGTATTAAATAAATTACTTAAAATTTAAAAAAATAAGAATTATAATCAATAGTTTAAAATAATGTAAATAATTAATAGTTTTAATTTGTTAAATAATAATCTGATTTTTTTAAAAATGACTAAATTAACTAATAAGCTAAAGAAAGTATTGTTGTTGGATCTTAATAGTAAAAAATTTTTGATTATTCAAAAAATGATAGAAATAAAAAATTTGAAAATGCTTGGGAATATAAATTTTAAAAATTATAAGATGATATAATATAATTATGTAATAATTCGAAAGAAAATATACCTAAACTATGGCTATAAATGTTCAGTTTAATAGGTTAGTTTAGAGAAAAAGCAGAATAGACTGTAATAGAAATAGTATAGGAGCTTATATTTCCAGAAGGAAATTGTAAATTTAATAAATTAGAATAAGGAAACCCTTATTTAAATTTATAAGAAAACGAAGAAGAATAAATATATATACATAATAATATGATTATAAGATTAAGTTATATAAAAGAAAATAAAAACTAAATAAAAAAAAGCAGTAGTTCATATAATGATTTTAGCTTTAAATGTCTTTCAAATGAATTCAGAGCATATAATATGTTAGCTGACTGCCTTTTTTTATTAAAAAAAGAACTTTAGTTTAAATTTTAAGTACCTTTAGTATGTTTAGTGGATTATATGGGATTTAAAGCTTTGTGTATGGGTATTATACCTATAGATTTTAAATAAAGTCTGAAAATAGGGGTTTACGAGAGTGAGTTTTTATAAAATAATGAATTAAATAAAGATTTGGAGTTTTTAGGAAAAATACTGAATTTAAAAAAGGGAGAATTTTTAGGGAAAAATAATGAAAAAATAAATACTTATTTGGGCTTTTTTACTGAAATTCATTTAGTTTAATAGGATAAATGGGACAATATATCTAAATTATTAATTTAATAATAATAATAATTGGTGGAGGAGAAAAATCAAAAATTTTATATACTGAAAGTTTAGAATTTAATTCCTTTGTAATTTTCGCAAAAAATTAATTAAAAAAATTTTGATTTTTCGAAGTAATTTAGACCAGAATTTATATCAAATTTCATTTCTGGGTAAATTTCTAATTGCGCATTTTTAAATCCAGATAAGTCTTAGGAATAAAAAATGGAAGATTTATAAAATTTAGAGTTTTCATAGTACTTAACGAATAATTTAATTCCGGAATTTATCAAAAAGTTAGAAAAAATGCAGTTCTTAGTATATGATTCAGCATCTATTAGTTAAGTTTTCCATTAAAATGGAATAAATTTAAGATTTATGGGCTTTGTGGCTAAATAGACAAGTCTTCCGCATATTTCAAATATTTTATTAAGCGAAATGATAGCAAGAAGTGCCAAAAAAATTTTTAGATTTGAGTTAGGACAGTTTCATATTTTACATTTTAAATAATAAATAAATTAATAAATTTAAGATTATATAAAAAAATATAAAAAAATAAGCAAAAAAAATAAAAAGAAGGACAAAATAAAGATATAAATAAAGAATATATTAAAAAAATAGATAAAATAAAAGAATTAGATATAGAAGTAAAAAAAATAGCAGTGGATTATTTAAATTTAATATTTGGATAACCAAAAGATATAAAAATAGAAGAAATTAAATAATTAAAAGGCTTTTTACGAGAATAATTATAAAATGAATATAATGAATCTTAAGAGATAATAAATTTCTGGAATAATATACTCGCAAAATAAGTTAAAGAAGATTTTAATTATGATATAGGTCCATATCCAGTTTAGAATATAAAAGGTGCTTTATTTCATTCTATATGTTTTCATTTAAGACTTAAATTAAAATACGATTAATCTATTTTAGATATTTAAGGTTTAAGGCCTTTTAGTCTTGAAAATTTTATCGAAATAATTGCTTTTTCGAAAGTTTACAATTTCCCTTGCTCTCCTTTATAAATAATGGCCTAAAAATGGAAAGAATATTAATAAACTAACAATATTAACTTATGTTTGAAATCTCTTAATATTCAATTAAAAATTACATAAGAAATTTTCCAAAAATGTAAAAGATTACATGGTCCTATGCCTGAATATTTTATATTATCTGAATTCGCATAATGTTATATTTAATTATAAAATTATAAACTATCAAAAATGCTTGCTGAATAAGCATTAGAAAAACACCTAAATTTCATGTTTCTGGTCTAAAATGTTTATCTATTTTAACCACTTGTTCATATTTTATTACTTTAAAAGAAGTTTAAAAACATATAGAAACGTTCCACTCTGAAAACTATAATATAGATTAAGAAAGTGCTAAGTATTTTGAATAATCATTAGTTATTATAGATTTTCATTTAGGAAATTATCACCCTTTAATAGCCAGTTTGTATTGCTAATAATATTTATCGATTTCTAATAAATGTGAGTCTTAAAGATTAAAACTTTTAAGAAATGCTTTACTTTGTTGTTGTAGGTCTTTAGGTAATAATCATATGCAAACAGCAGATATTTATGAATAAATAGCAGATCATTTATATTCTAATTCATAAATTAAATAAAGCCTTAGCTATTTAGAAAAAGCATTTGTAATATATGAGGCTGAATATGGTAAAAAATCACCTTTTTTAGCTAAGTTTTGTTATAAATTTAGCGAAAAATGCCTAAAAAAAGGTAAACATAGATATACTTTTTTATATATATATATATATATAAAGGATATATTGAATAAGCTTTAGAATATAGTAGTATAGCTTTTTAAATATTCGAAAATGAAGAAGGAGAATATTATTTTTCTTGTTTAGAATGTGCTTTTATTGTATCTTAAAGTACTCTTTTATTAAAAGATAATGATGAGAAGTCATTATTTTATTTAGAAAAAATGTGGGATATTATCGAAAAATATTGTATTAATGAAAAGGATTAATTTATAATAGAAAAAATATATTTTATTATTAAAAATATTGTTAGATTGTATTTATTAAAATTAGAACCGGAAAAGAAAAACTACTTATTTAAAATTCTTTATGCTTTTAAATAAGAATAAGACTTCGAAAAGTCTAATAGGGAAAATCCGTCCGTATAAGCCTATTATGAGTTTTTGTAAATGGAAAAAAATAATGATTAGTCATTTACTAATTTAGATCAGAAAAATTAAGTAAATAAGAAAATTTAATTAGTTTTTATATTTAAATATAAATAGATTAAACCTGATATTAAAAAATCATAAAATTTAATTAATTAAATATAAAATAATATGGATGATTAAGATTAAAATAGTAAAAATTCAATATAAGAAATAAAAGAAAATAAGTCAACAATAGTTGAATCTCCTAAAAATATATGGATTAATAATTTTAAAATATTTTTAAAACGGAATAATTTAATGAAAATTTAGATATAAACAAATAAAAATAAAGATATTTAGAAATTATATAAATTATTAGAAATATATGTAGAAAATATAAAAATGTGCATGAAATGGTAGATAATATGATAAATAATATAAATAAACTATTCTAGGAATTATATTATTCAAGAAAATTTTTTATTGATTTTAAAAATATAATTAATAGTATAGAAATATATGAAGATAAAAATAGGTTATATATATATATATATATATATATATATATATATTTTTATATATGTTTAGTAATTATAAAATTTTGTCTAATTAAATTTAACAAGAAATTAATAATAATAGAATTTAATAATATTGATACTAATTCATAATATGTATATTAGTTTTTACAAGATAATTATGATTTTTAGAATTAAAATGATTTATATAATAAATAAATAAATGATAATTTCAGAGGGTTTTTATTTTTTTTTTATATATTTTATTTTTTTTATATTAGAGCTATTTATTTATTTTAATAAATGATATTTTTATTTGGGGAAATATTTTTTTATGATGTTCTTGTCTAAAATGTATATTGTTCTTTAGAATAATAAAATTATTGTTCATGATTTAATATATATTTATATAAAAATATAATATCATTTTTGAAAAGTTTGTGTATATACTATATTTTTTATTATTTATATTTACATAAATTAGGATTATTTTTTTTTAAAAAAAAATACTAATTATATAATTATTTACGATTTTATATTATTATTTTTAAATTCATTATTTATATAATTAAATCTCATTTTCATTTATATTTAATAAATTTAAAATTTATTGAGTAAGATTTTCATTTACACTATTCCTATTTAGATAAAAAATAAATAAATATTATAAATGAAATAGATAAATTATATTAATATATATATTAATATATATTAATATATATATAATATATATTAATACATATTTATTTATTTTTAAATTCTTTATATATATATTTATTTATAAATATTTATTTATTTGTTACTTTTTATAAAATTCCTATATGAAAAGTGTAAAGTAATTTTTAATTTGTTAAAAACACTAAGAAGAATAAAAATCAATCATTTCATCATTGAAAGTATCGCATTCTATATTTTTTTCATCTAAATTTATAAGATTAATTTCCTAAATTAAAGAATTAGTTAAAAAAGAATTTTATTATTAATTATAGAGTATATCATTTAAATCTTTTATTTAATTTTTTAAATTTTCTATTTCAAATTTTAGTTCGTCCCTTTATATTTCTTATTTTAAAAGTATGTTTTGAAAATTTCCTACTTAATTCAAGTATTTATTAAGTACGTCTTTATGTTTATTATTTAACTTTTTTTAATTATTATCATTCAAATGTACTTTATTGAATAAAATCTCGTCTAATAAATTTTCTAGTTTTTAGCTATAAAGTATTAAAGATTCAATTTAATAATTTTCTATTATTTCGTGTTTTTTTTATAATTCATTTTATAAATTTTGAATAGTTTTTTAAAGTTTTTCAGTGTTTATTATTTAGTTTTCGATTTCTGATTTATAATCAATTATTTAGTTTTTTAAAATTTAATTTTATTCACATACTATTGTTTATTATTATAAAAATTAGAGTTTATCTTTATAAAAATTATTAATTTTTTCAATATAAGATTATCGTTCTTCTTCAAAGTTTTCGTAGTTTTTCTCTATTTTTTGAATTTAATCTTTTAGGCTTATATTTTCTTATATTAAATTTTAATTTAGTGAATTATTTTCAGTTTCTTATTTTAAGTTTTCTATTTATTATTTTAAATTTTAATTTTCATTTTTTATACTTTATATTTATTCGTTTAAATTATTTTTCTTTTAATTTTTTAAAGTTTTATTTTTTTCATTTTTTTAATTTTCGGACGAATTTATTACATTATTATTATGCTCTTTTTCCAAATTTTAGGTTTAAAAGTTTTCTAAATTAGAATTTTAAAGATTTTCTTAGTTTTCCTTTTTGAATTCTACTAATTATTCATTTAAATGTCCGATTTATTCTTCTAAAAATCCATTTTTTGGTTAAAAATATCCATTTTATTCTTCGAAAAATTCATTTTTTGGTTAAAAAAATCCATTTTTTTGCTATTCTTTTAAATTTGAATTTTCCATTTAAAAATCTTGAATTTCTCCTTTTAAATATTCGGTTTTTTCTAGCAAATTTTGTCTTTCTTCTTTTAAATTTTCGTTTTCGATTTTTAGATTTTCATTTTACTTTTTTAGATATCCATTTTCTTTTTAAAAATCCTCGATTTCTTCTTTATAATATTGAATTTCTTCTTTTAAAATATCTATTTGATCCTTTAGGTCTATTTATAATTGTTCATTTTAATTTTCTTTTACTTTTTAAATAAGTTGTTATTCGTTTTGAATGCTTTTGGAATTATGTTATTGTTTTGTTAGTGTTTCATTTAATATTTATATTTTAAAGTCTTAGTTTAATATTTATATGCTTTGATATTGATCTTATAAATTTTGGATTTCTTTTAAAAAATTTTAGTTTTCTAATATTAAATAATCATGTTATGTTTTTAAATTTTTGTTTTCTTTTTATAAATTCTCGATTTCCGTTTGGAATGATTCCTTTTGAGCGTTTAATTGTTATATTTCGGTTTAATTGTTTTGGAAATTTTATGAAATAATTTTGTAGTTTTCGTTTTCCTTTAAAATTTTTTCTTTTTCATTTAAAAAATTTTCCTTTTCATTTAAATTTTTTTCGTTTTCTTTTTTTAAAAATTCTAATTAAAATTAAATTTTTTCATTTTCCATTAAAATTTTTTCCTTTTCATTTAAATTTTTTTCTTTTTCTTTTTTTAAAAATTCTAATTAAACTTAAATTTTTTCGTTTTCATTTAAATTTTTTTCTTTTTCCTTTAAAATTTTTTCGTTTTCTTTTAAAAAATTTTCGTTTTCTTTTTTTAAAAATTCTAATTAAACTTAAATTTTTTCATTTTCCATTTTTAAAATTTGATTTTCATTTAAATTTTTTTCGTTTTCCTTTAAAAAATTTTCGTTTTCCTTTAAAATTTTTTCATTTTCCTTTAAAAAATTTTCGTTTTCCTTTAAAATTTTTTTATTTTCCATTTTTTGATTTTCCATTTAAATATTTTAAGTTTCCATTTAGTTTTTTTAAGTTTCCATTTAAATTGTAAGATTTTGGATTTAATTTGTTAATTTTTAATTTTCATTTAAAAACTCTTCGTTTTAAATATTCAAAAGATTGATTTTTATTTAAAATTCTTCTTCTTTTTTTTCCATTATATTGGCAAATACATTAATTTCTTAAGAGTTTTCGTTTATTTTTTAAGTTAATAATTGATTTTCTTAATTATATTTTACCTTTTCTTTTTCGAAAAATTCTATCTTTTCATTTAAAATATTCATTTAAGTATCTTTTTCTGTTTTTTCTTTTTAAAAAATTAAATGTACACTAGCTAATTCTTCTTCTAAATTTTAGTTATTTTTCCTCAATTCTTCATTGTTTTTTTCCAAAATCTCCATTTCTTTTTCCAGTTTTCTCTTCTTACTACACACTTCTTAATAATTCTAAATAATTTTCGCATTCTCAGCTTCTAACTTAATATTATTCTATTAAAATTTCTCGTTATTTTCGGCTAAATTATTAATAGAATTATGTAAATTAGATGTTTATTATATTAAATAACTATTATCTTACGAAAACTATTCATTTAATTATTCTTTTTACATAATTTATTAGTTTTAATTATAAATTTAGACATTTAAAAGGGCATTATCTAATAAAAGCTTGTTTTTAGTATTTGTAAGTTCCTAGTTTTTAATATCGGCTTCTTTTAGTAAATTTTCGCATTGTTTTAGGGCATTTTCTAGTTTAGTTTTTTCTAAATTAATTCGTTAGTTTAATTGTATGTTTTCCTATATAATTATTTAATTTTCCTTATTTTTTTCTTCTTTTTCATTTTCATGATTTTCTTGTATTTTTTGAATTTATTTATTTTTTTCTTAAATTAAATTTGAAAATTCAATATTTTTTAAAAATATATTTTCCAATTTTTCATGAATTAAATTTTTTTATTAATTATTATTTTCGTTGTTTATTTATAAAATCTAGTTAATTTTTTATATAAAATAATTATTTTCCTATATTTAAAAATTTAAATCTGATATTATTTTTCCATAATAATCTTCAGTTTAATTTTCTCTATTAATATTTTTTTAAATTACAATTTAATTATTTTTTGGAGGTAAAGAATTATTCTTTTTATCAGTACTATTACTGGCCTAATTATATTATATATAAATATATATATATTATATATATATATATATATATTTATATTTATATATTTATTTTTATAAAAATATAATTTTTATAAATTTATATGTATATTTTTAATTTTTTTTTTTTACTTCAGTTTAAAATGTAGATGAGATATTATGATTAGTTTAATTATTATTTTATTATGTTATAATAATTTTTTATTATTCATTATTTAAATATTATATCATTTCTTCAATATCTGTTTTTCTTTATTTAGTTAGATTTTATTTACTTTTTAAAATATTTTCAAGTTTTGATTTTCTTATTGATAATTCGAAAAAATTATGTATTTATTTATTTTGGTTTTTTAATAATTCAATTTCACCTTCTTTTTCTTCTAGGAGATTGTAAAGTTTTTTTATACAAATTTTTCTATCATTTGCTTTTACTTCTATTTTATTCAAACTTTTTTTCAGATCTTCCACATGTTTCTATAGTTCATTGTTTTCTTTTTTTTTAAAACTTAAAGGTGACATCTTCTGTTTACTTTCGATATTAGAATTGCTATTATTAGTGTTCTCTTTATTGTTTTTTATGTTTTATTGTAAACTTTAACGAAAATTACATATTTAAGTAGGCGATTAGCAAGAAACCACATTCATTTTAGTATTTATATAGGGTTCTTAATTACTTTTAAATTACCAATTATTTATTATTTCTGTATATTTTACAGAATTGCATTATTAAAAACCATCTTTTGTCAAACTGATTTCTTTTTTATCATTTAATCTTTATTAATATATATATATATATATATATTTATTATTAATGTATTTATTTTTTACGATAATTAATGTACACAAGATCTTTGATTTTATTATTTTGTTTTTGTTTCGGAGATTTTTTTCAAATATGATTATCGAACTCTTGGAGTACTTTTTGAGTTTAAATTTATCATTTTTTTTTTTTTTTTCTAAATATTTTTTTTTTTTTAAATTATTAGTAAAAAAAACAAAAAAAAAACAAAAAAAAACAAAAAAAAAAAAACAAAAAAACAAAAAAAATATTTAAATTAATAATATTTGCATATTTTTATAATTAGATTTTGGAAAAAATACTTTATAATTTATTATTTTTATTAAAAAAAAAATAATTAACACAAATATAATTTTTTTTTTAATATTTTAGATAAAATTATAATTATACCTCAAAATTATTGAATTTATTTTTTTTTTATATAAAAAAATATAATATTAATTATTATACTAAAATATATCTATATATATATATATAAAAAAAAAAAGGCAAAGTCTATATATATATATATATATAAAAAAAATCAATGTATATTTTTAGTTATATATATTACTATTTAAATAGTATAAAAATATAATCATTATATATAATTTTGTATACTATCTTAAAATATATTTAGTATTTATGAAAATATTAAAATACTAAAGGTTAGAACAATCATTATATTATTAAAGTTTATGTTTTTACTTTTTTTGTTTTTTTCTTCTTTGATAAAATCATTATTGCTTTCATCTTAATTTTTTTTAGAAAACAATAAATTGATATTTTTTACTATTTGGTCAATAAAAAAATCATTTTGATCAAATTAAACGTTATTCTATATTTCGTCTTCTTATCTAAAACTATTATTATAATAATTACTTACTAAATTTAAATTATTATTAACAATATTATTATAATAATTATTATTAATAACTACTTATTATTATTAATTTTATTTTTTTCCGTTTTATTAAAACTATTGTTAATTAGTTTATTATTCTTATTAGAACCGGTTTTATTAAAATTATTAATAATTATTTTATTCTCCATTTTAGAATCGGTTTTATTAAAATTATTATTAATTAGTTTATTCTTCGTTTTAGAATCGGTTTTATTAAAACTATTATTAATTAGTTTATTCTTCTTATTAGAATTGGTTATTTTATTAAATTTATTCAAATTAGATTGTTTATGTATGCTTTTCTTACTAAAAGAAAATGTTTGTTTGTTATTTTTAAATTTCTTCTTTTTATTAGGTTTAATTTTTTTCTTAAAAATTATTTTTTTTATTAAAATTTTCTTCTTTTTCTTAAATAGACTCATTTTCTTTTTTTTAGTCTTCTTTTTCTTTTCTTTTTTAATCTTCTTCTTCTTTTTTTTTATTTTCATTATAATTCTATTTATAGGTTTCCTCCTTTTCTTTTTTTTGATTTTCTTTAAAATTTTCTTCCTTTTCTTTTTTTTGGGTTTCTTCTTTTTTTTGAGTTTCTTCTTTTTTTTGAGTTTCTTCTTTTTTTTTGGTTTCTTCTTTTTTTTGAGTTTCTTCTTTTTTTTGAGTTTCTTCTTTTTTTTGAATTTCATTAATTTTATTTAGAATTTCGGTTTTTTTAAAGTTTTCGTTTTTTTAACTATTTACTTTTGTTTCAAGATTTTCTTTTGTTTTTTCTTTCTTTAAATTATTATTATTATCTCCTTCTTCTATATACTTATAATTTTTATAATTCGAACGACTTAATTAGATCCGAATATCTCGAATATTCTATTCTTATATATTTCTAAATTATTTTTTTATTTCTTCTTCATCTAAATCAATATCATACATTTAAGCTATTTATTACAATTTCTAACTTGGTTTATTAAAATCCAATCTCGAAACCTTTTCTAATTAAATTTTAGCTTACATTGCTTTTTTAAATTATTATTCAAGTTGATCTCTTTCTTTTAGCCGGCCCTATTTTTCATATAAAGATAGCATTTCTTTGCTTTTTATATTAATAAAGTCTCCTAAATCGGTTATTTCTTGAGGAATAGAAAGACTTTCGTCTATTTCATATGAAAGTTCATAATTTAGGTCTGAATAATTCTTATAAATATTAAATTAACTCCAAAACTGTTAAGCTTTTAGATTTTATTCGTTTTAGTTTTAATCATTATATTCTAGTTAATTTTTAGTGTTATGTGATTCTTAATTTTATCTAAATTTTTATTAATCTTCTTATTATTTTTAGTAATCATTTTGACATTCTTGTGAATATTAAGTATTTTAGTTTGTTTAATTATCTGATATCTTATTATTAGTTTGTTTATTTTATTATTATAAAATGACTTTCTATTGTTAATTTTATACTTCTTTATTATAGAAATTATTTGATTATTATTATTAAGGTATTTCTGATGATTATATTTATTATTTATTAATTAATATATTATTATTATTATTATTATTATTATTATTATTATTATTATTATTATTATTTATTATCTTTATTTTGTTTTTCATCCTTTATTTATATATTTTCATCTTGTTGTAATACTTCTATTTATTTAACATTTTATTTTTCTACTTAAATTTTAACTTCACTTATTTTCCGATTTGATATTTTATATTTCACCCTATTAAGTTCTTCTATAATAATTTCCTAACAATTATTTCCTTCTAAATCAATTGATTTCTAATAATCCTTTATAACCTATTTATAATCATCTAAGCTAACATTTTTTTTTTATAAATTAGCCTTTCCTCTCAAATAATAAGCTTTAGAGCTTTTCGGGTCTAGTTTTATCGCTTAATTGCATGCTTCTTTTGCATACTCTATATATTTTTCAAACATTTTTTTTTTATTTAATTCTATTTTTAAATAAGCTAGACATATATTTAATAGAGGATTACTTTTAACTTTTTTATTTATTTTTTCTCTTTATCTGTTTTTCCATTATCGTCTATATATTGTAAATTATCTTCTGTTAATATATTTTAGTCAGAACTAGTGTTTATTATATATCTAAAAATGGATAAAGCTTATTCATAATGTATAGTTGCCTCTTCGTATTTTTGGCTTTTGTAAAGAATATTTCCATATTGTTTTAATAAATCGGAAGCAAAATATCTCTAACACATTTATTAAGAACGGACTTGGGTATATTTTTGATAATATAGGAGACCTGCTTTTATAAATTAAGGAGAATTTTCAAATATAGAAATTTGTGGTTGATTTTATTATTATTCTTATTTCATTTTTTTTACTATATATTTTTATTTTTTATATTAAATATTTTTTTCCTCTTTTATTTATTTATTTAAACATATATAAATAATATTAATTTTTTTTGTTTTTTTGTTTACTATAAAATCTAATGATTATATAATGTTTTAATATATATTTAAAAGGCATATTTTATAATATATTATAAAAAAATGAATATTATATATATTAAAAAAAAATCATTTAATGTTCTTTTAAAGTTAAACGTTCTCCTATTTAATTTCTTCTATGTCCTATTATAATTTTTCTATACTTTTATCATAGTGTTTTTGACTTAAATATGCAATTTTTCCTTCTATATTTCTAGTTTCTATTTTTTTAGCACCTATATCTCTTAAATTATTAATAGTTTTGTCCATAATAGCCCTATATTCTTGATAAATCTTGAATATTTATTTACTTAAAGACTCATTTTTTTTGGAGTTATTATTATATAAATTCTCGAATTCTGTACCATGTCTATGTAATACATTTTACTAATATTATATGGCATCCTCGATTTATTTTACATCTTTTACAATGCTTTCCATTTCATCTTTTTATTTGTCATAGTTTTTTTTAATTTCAGTAATTTTTTTAACATATTATTGCCTATTTCCACTTTAAGGCATTCTTTTGAAATCCTCAACTAGTTTTTCTTTTTTTTCGTAATTATTCTTTATATCGGCAATCAATTCACTATATTCTTAGTCTATTCTTTTTCCTTTGTCTTTTATCAACTCGATTTTTTCTTTTTTTATTTCTAACTAAAAAAAAGGATGTGATAAAAATATGTATATATATAATTATATATAATTGCTTTTATATATTAATATATGTTTTTTCATTTACCTCGTTTTTTATTTCGTCTAATTAAGTTATCTGCTTTGCTTAATATTCTTAGAATTCTTCTTCCATTTGTTAAATCTCCTCTTCTATTTCTTTTGTTTCTTTTGCTAATTCGGAGTTGTCTTTCGATTTTAATTCTTTTATTAATAAGTCCATTTTTTATATTTCTTTTTATATTGTAATGTTTTTTTATTTAAGGATATCTCCTTATTCATTATTTGATTAAATATTATTTTCCATTTTTTATTTTTTTTAGTTATATTTTTCTAATTTACTTTTTATTTTTGTTGGTTTTATATAAAATAATTCTATTTTTACTTATTTTTATCATCTAATTAAGTCATTAGATATTATATTTCTTCCTCATGTTTTTTTTTCAATGATTAGATTTCAAGTTCCACATTTTTCGATTGTAAAAAACCATCATTTGATTATTTTTTATCTTCTATTTCTTATTATATAAGAATTTCTTTATTAAAAACTGTCTTTTCTTCTTCAAGTGCTTCCAAAGGAACTATTTTTTCGATTTCATTTCCATATTGGTCTTAAATGAGAACTTTTTGGAAAGTTTCGTCGTCTTTTTAGTTTTCTTAGATTAATTATTTTGCTATTTTATTTACTTTTTTATTATTAACGTATTCTTTAGCAACTTATTATTTTAATAAATTTAATTAAAAAAGATGTTTTTCATAATTATTTCGGATATATTCATCTCCATAATAATTTTCTTTTATAAACGATTCCATATTCTTTTATTACTGCTCTTATTCAATTATATTAACTAAACATGCATATAAATTACTTCTTTAGATATTTCCACAAATAATAAGTTTCTTTTTTAAAGAATCTTTATCTATAAGCAATATTTCCTATTCATAACATCTAAATGAGTTAAATTTATTATTTGATAAATATGGATGAATCCAGTCTTTTTTTACCCATTTTCTGAGTATATTTTTCCTTTTCTAATCTTTTAAAAAATTCACTTTATCCTAAAAACTATCGAATGATTAGACACCTAATCTAGCTACATTTATATTTAAATTTTCTCCAGCTTCTTCATGCATTGATAGTTTTTAGAGAATTGCTAATAATATCTTCCTTATATCATCTTTTTGAGGAGATAAAAGGGAATTTATGTCAATTCTTAGATTATATAAGTTCTTCATTTCTTCGAATATCTTGGAAGATTAACGGAACTTTTGTTAGCCTTTCATTGATTGTAAAGTAACTGATGATCCCATATATTCGAGAAATTAAAAACATATTAAACGTAATATGTCACCATCTATATCTTGGAGGTATTTTATTTATTTTCCTTAAAGGTCGAAACCAAATTATTGTAAACTACCTATTAATAGTTGGTCAGTGTCTTGTTCCATTTTTTTGTTTTTGTTTTTGTTTTGTTTTTTATATATTTTTGAGGGGATTTTTTTTATATTATTTTAAATTGTTTTAAAATAAAATATATTATTAGTATAATAGTATTTTATGTTATTTTATTTTATAAAATTTTTTATTTTATTTTTATAAAAAAAATAACTTTTCTTATAGAATCGTTATAAAGTTCGATAGTTATTAACATTTTTATATATATTTTATGGAGTCAAATTTATTATTTTTATAGGATTATATAATTTAGCAATAAAAAATATTTATACTTATAAAATTAATTGTTGTTTTGAATTTTTTTTTATTGTTTAAAACAAAACATAATACATTTTTAAAAAATTTAGTCGACAGAAAAAAAAAAACATAAGACATTAAAATAAATAAAATATATATATGTATATATTTATATATATATATATATATATTTAAAAAATATTTATGAAATCACATTAATTATTTATTTGAAAAATATTAATTTTGAAAATATACAGATAATAAAATCTAAATAATTTATATATTAATTTAATAAAAAAAATAAACTATTTAATTTAGTCAAATATTTGAATAAAATTTTTAATTGATTATAATTATTGATATTTTATAGAAGATTATGCTTTATAATAAAAAATAAACTATAACAACTATAACTAATGTGCAATAAAAAATTTATAAAAAGAAATATAACTAAATTTAATTTTTAGATTACTTATTTAAATAAACAGATTTATTTATTTTGTGTATTTTTTTTAAAAAAAGTAATTAACATTTTTTATATAAAAAATCTAATATATTATAAATATTTAAATATACAAATAGAAAAAAATTAAATACACATCAAAAAATGATATTAAATATAAAAATAAAATATTACAAAAAAAAAGTTAAAAATAAAATATTTAAAAAAAAAATTATTTATAAATAAATATATAATTTAATAAATTAAAATTAAGTTAATATATATATTTATATATTTTTATTAAAATATATATATATATATATATATATATATAATATTTATAATTTAATAAAAATATTTATATATTAATTTATTTAATATTATAAATATATTTTTATTTAAATATGCATATCTTTTTTTAAATAATTTCTTATTTAATTAAAATTAATATCCCAACATATAAAAAAAAATATTAATAATTTCAATTAATATACTTTTTTATTTAAAATATAATTCAAATTAGAAACCTTTCATCAACCATAGTTTTTTCTGATATATTTCTTTTTCCAAAATAATCCCTTATAAAGCTAAAGAATTTACTAAATACATAAGTTATAAAAATAGCTTGTAGTGTACTTTTAGTTAGATAATCATAAAAAAGATAAGTAATCATTTCAAATAGTAATATATTCCATTCATTTCCACAATAAAAAATACTTTTATATTCCATATCTGGATCTTTATAAAAAAAAGGTAATCCTTATTAAATTCCATCTGTTGGAGGCATTTTCAGTAATCTTTAAGAAATTCCTTTAATTAAAACATGATTATTGTGATGAATTTCCATTTCTTTGATATATGTTTTCAATACATTAGTAATATGGTCTTTAAATTGATATTTTTCCATTTCTATTATCATTTCTCGGCTTACTGTTTTTCCTAATATCTTCTAATCTGTATTATATTTAGCCCTAACTAAATCGAATTAAACTTTATATTCTTAATTATATTCAAAACGCAAGTCTACAGGAAGAAAAGTCTCGAATGTCTATAGATTATCTCCCTTTATTAATCCTCTGGAATTAGAGCTTTTAGCTTCTCGGTCTAAAGATTATTTAAGCCAATTACTGTTTCCTTCCGAACAGCCTGAAGCTGATTTTCCGTGTAAATAATAGCCGTGGAGCTACTCGTCCATTATAAAAATAGATATATTAGCAACAGAACATAAATCTGTAAAATTCTAAATTTAAGTCGGGACCCATATAATTATCATTCTTCGGAAAATTATTTATATTATACCTGTTAATAAATATACTATACATGATATAAAATATCTCAATACAGGATTTTTCTCAGATACATCAACATCAACTATCTATAAATTAGGTTAAGAATGTTAAAGATTTATCCAGTCTAGGCCAGTGAGGAAAAAACCTACCCAAAATAAGCTCCATTCAAGTGAAACAGTTCTATAAATCTATATTTTTATATATATATATATATTACATGATTAAAAAATATTATAATATATATATATATATATATATTTATTTATATATTTATATATTTTTTAATATATTTATTTATATATACAGATAATTCATTAAATTCATTAGCTATAAATAATGTTCTCCAAACTGAAATTCCTCTTTTTGTTTCTTCATCTTTATTGTCTTCGTGAAATTATTTTTGATTTTCCCAATCTATAAAAAGAACATCTACTTATAATTATTTGTAAACAAAAGAAATAAAAGAAACTATTTTAAACGAATACATTATAATCAGAATAATTTCAAATGCTTGGTAATTATTGCTATATAATGAAGGTATCAATGTATATACTTATTATTACATTTTAAAAAATATAAACCAATATGCAGTCATAAATAGGAGGAAATAATAAGCTGAATCTGCCCATAAATCTACCAACAATATAATTCCGTTTATTAACCATTTAAAAAAATGCTACTCAGGGGAAACTAATCGAGATTAGGGATTATGTTTTCCCCATATATAAAACTTTGTTAACCATAATAAACCTACAAATACATTCAAAGTAATAAATATAGCCTTTGCAACAGGCCAGAAACCTTAAGAATCATGATTATAATAACTCTTTTTATATATTTTAAAAATGAATAAAAAATTAAAAAATAAAAAAGTTTATATTTATTTATTAAAATATATATTATAAATATTGAAACGTATATATATATATATAAATATATATATATATATAATATATATATATGTATATATATATATATATATATTTACATTAAATTCAGCATATGCTTATAAATTACTAATAATTCTTTCATTTTATAATATTTCTACATATTCATAAGATATTGTTATATAAGGAATATATATTTTTTAAACATTAGGCTACATCATTACATTAAAATTTATTTATTTTGCATATTTAAAATACTTAAAAAATAATATATACATATAAATTATTTATATATTTACTTTAGGCAAAGCAGCTTTTTATTAATATAATCTAGCTTTAACTTTATCTAATTCTGCATCTTTTAAATTTTCATCAATTACAAATCCTGATATATTATCAAAGACTGTAAATCTTGTTACATATTATTCAATATTATTATTTCTAGTCTACATTACTTTTACAGGTATTGGAATTAATTCTTTATTAGGCTATTCAATAAAAATTTAATAAAATTTAGTGTATTTAGGATTATACATAATTCCTGTAAAATCCACATAGCAACTAAGGGAAAAATCTTGTCCGAATTTTTTAAATTATGCCCCGTCACTTTCTGAACTTGGACAAATGAATAATTATTAAGTTAAATCTTGGAAACCTTTTGTTTATGGATCATAATTAAGTATATTTCCTTCAATATCATAAGTTAAAATTTTGTATTTTATTTAATTTACAGTTGTTTCATTTACATCAGATTCTCGGAAAGTTAAATTAGCTTCATATTAAACTCCTTGCCAAATATTCTCGATTGTAAGTTTATCTTAGAAAAGTAAATGAGGGTAATTAGTTTATCTATTCCAACCATTATTTGATCTTTTTATATATATATAATTATTTTTTTATATTTTATTATTAAATTTGATAATAATAATACGATGATGTAGGAGCTAATTATTTGAATTTTTAGCAAGGTTATTCATCAAAATTATACCAAGAAAGTACACATAAATTACCTAACACTTAACATCCCTTCATGTCTTTATTAGAACATTTATAGATGGCATCTAATAAATAATAGGCAAGTACTTAAGATTTTACATCAGTTATAGGTCCAAAGGGCATATCCATAAGATTTACTGTTTGTGGCTAATAAATGTTTGTTGATCCGTCACTACATCTCAAAGATTAAACATTATATTCATTGTCTCTTCCTTAATCGAAATTTTTACATACGCAAATATTAATGCCTAAATTGGCCTTAAATTCATATTAATTAATATTTTAATCTATAGGGTTACATCTATGACAATATTTAGTACCGTCAGGTAAGCTTTTAACTATGCTTTCATTATTGCAAATTACTATAGGGGGATCGGCTTATTAATTAAATGGTATAACATCACCGTTTTCTTATATTTGCTTATAAAATTAATTTGTAGAAGGTAAATTCTATATGTAAATGTATATATATATATATATATATATATATATATATATATATATATATATATATATATATATATATATATATATAAATATATATATATTATGTTTTTTCTTACAGTTTTGTCATACTTACAGCGATCACCACCTACTAAAGAATAATCGTTTATTCCAGGACACTTACAATCGAATGAGACTATCCCTTTTTAAGCTCTGCTTTAACCAGGGCAAGCCTAACATAAGGCATAGAATGGATTAAAGTATTATGTTTCCATTTTACACGAGAAGAAATCTTTAAATTTTTATTGGTTCGATAATATTAATAAAATAAAAATAAATAAAGTAGTCTTTATAATCATTTTATTTTTTTATTTATTTTATATATATAAATAAAATTAAAAGTTTTCCTTTTTTTATAAAAAAAATATATAAATATTTTAATAAATAAATGATTTTTAAATTTTTAAATTTTATATTTTAATATAAAAATTTATATATTATTAACATATATGATTGTTATTTGAAAATACAAAATATTATTAAATATATATTAAGTTTAAAAATATAGCAAAATATAAATATTATAAAAAGATATAAAAATATGATAAAATAATATATTATATATATATTTATATATTTATGTTATATATTATTATAAATATAACTTTTATTTATATTTTAAAATATATTTTTTTACATAATTTCTTTATAATTTTATTAAAAATTACAATATGATAAATTATTTAGTAATTAATATTTTAATTATATGTTTAAATTAAATTACAATATATATAATTTTACTAATAATTCCCATATTATTGTATATATATATATATTTAATATTTTTATTTATTAAAAAATATACGTTAAAAAAATAGAAATGTCAATCAAGAATAGTAATTAATATTAATTATATTTAAATTAAATATAAAATATAAGATTATTAAAATAATCCTATTTTTAGCATTATTATTAATATATCAGGATAAAAACATACATTGTTTGTATATAAATATGATACTCCTTTATAAATAGCATACCGTTTTTGTATATAAAATAAATGGGATATATGTTGTGTGTAAAATATATCTGATTAAATATAAATGGTATTTAATAATTACTTAAAAAATGATAAATTAGAATAAAATATAAAAAAAAAACTGTAACAAATTTTGCCATATTCAATTGATTAATTTTCTATATAATAAAAGTTAGAAAATTTATCTAAAAAAAACTTATCAGGAACCGAGAAAAAAACATTATAAATTATTAAAAATACTCTTATTTAAAAGGATTTATTAAAAGAATTAAATTAGAAATAAAATCTAGAATAAATATAATAATAAGATGAAAATGGAGGAAAAATATAAGAAATTTAAATAGAAAATTAATATTTTAATATTAATAATTCGACATCTAAATATTTTAAAAAAAGTATGTCTTTTACCGAAAATAAATAGAAAAAATAAAATTCGTCATTTTAATAATAATTTAACATAGAAAACTAAAATTTTAATAGTTTAAATAAAAATATGTCTTTTTAAGATAATAATCATATTTTTTATAATAAAAAATGTTCTTTTTCATGTGAATAAAAAAAATATACGACAAAAAATAGCCTTTTTTTGGAATAAATTTACACTTTTTTTCCTAAAAAAAACAAATCATCTTTCAGTTAAGACTCTCAAAAAAACACAAATTTATATCAAAGAGGCATGGATTATTTGAGCTTCAAATAAATCAAAATCGAAGAGTAAAAAAAGCAAAAAGACTAAAAAAGTTTAGATATTTGTACCTTTATACCATAGGTAAATTAAAAAATAAATAGACTATTGTTATAGAATAGGGACTAAAATATAAATAAGTTCGAGTAGTTATATTAGAATGGGAAAAATATGCAAATTAGGAAATAAATGTTATAAAATTAGGAATAAAATGATAAAAATAAAGATTTCTAGTATCAACCTTATATCAATTAGTAAAGTAAAATTCTAGTCGCGGAAAAAAATAGGCAAATAAATGAGAAAAACAATTATGAGAACATAAGTAATTATGATAATAAAATAAATAAAAATTTAGATTAAATTAAAGTAAAAAATATAAGTATATAGTCAATTGTTAGAAATAATAAAGATAAAAGGAGTTTTTAAAAAATAGAATAATAAAGATAATATTTATTAGAAAAAAAGAAAAGAAAAGTCTTTTAAGATATATTTTTAAAACTTGATTCGGATAAAGATGGAATAATAAGTGCTGAGAAAATACAAATAAATAATATAAAAAATTATATATTAAATATAATAGCCCCTATTTTATATAAATTATAATATTTAGATAAAAAATTTACTATGTAGCAATTTTTAAATGAATTATAAGAATTGTTTGAAAACTTAAATATATCCGAATAAAATAGTTTATTATAAAAAGCTTAAATAAATAATAAATATTTACAAATTAATAAAATATAAAATAGTATTAGTAAACATAAATTTAATTAGAAATAATAATGAATTATTTCTAATAATTTAAAATACTAAATATTATTAAGGTTTATATAAGAAAAAAAAAAATATATTAGATAATTAATTAATCAGATATAATAAATTACTTTATAAATAATATAAAAATATATTATATAATTTTTTAAAAAATAATTAATTCTTTTAAGATGATAATTAAAAAAATAGTAATTATTAAATATATTATATACAACAAATGCAGTTATATATATTTTAAAAATTAAAAGTATAAAAAATTTTTTTATAAAAAATTTATATAGATATTTTTAAAAATACAATTATATTTTTATATATATAAATTGTTTTATATTATTTTTATATTTAATTATAATAATATTATTATATATTTTTTATTTTATATTGAAAATAAATATATAAAATTAAAAATTTTATTAAAAAACATATAATTTTGTACTTAAAATTAAAATAAAAATGTATAAAAAGAAAATAAAACATATAATAAAATAATTTAAAAATAAATAAATATAAATTTAAATATATATAAATAAATTTAAATAAATATATATATTAAAATATTTATATATATATATATATAAATTTTATTATATTTATATATTATATATCTAAATAAATATATAGATTTATATTCAAATATATATATGTAATTTTTATATATAATTTTTAATTTTTAAATATTGAAAATTCATTAATTAATATATAATACATCTATAGAAACTCCATAATGATCAGATAATTATGTAAATGGTTATTCTTTTACAAAAAACTTTTCTATTTCAACTGATTAATAATCAACTTATAATATTTCTTCTTGTACTTATTTTTCTTAATCATCTGATTAATTATTTTCTTTAAAATGAATTATATAATCTAAACATTGTCCTGCAAAAAGATCACTTGATATAGTTAATACAGTCTCCATAGGTTATTTACTTCCATTTTCATCTACATAATAATCTCCGTATGTAATTGGTATTTCCTATCCATATTTTTTTTTCACACAATCGTATATAATATTTTTGTTGAAATTAGAAAGCAAAATCTTCAATATATCATATTCACTAAATGATTTTTCTTATTATAAAGATATAAAATGTCTCTTTTTTTGTTATTTTTGTTTATTTATATTAATTTTAAAAAATATACTTATAATTCTTTATTTTAATATAGATATTTTAAAGGGTGTTTATTATGATTTGCATCTATATTAAAATCACCTAATATTATTGTCAATTCATTTTAGTTTTTTTTGTGTTTTTTTAACATTTTTATAATAAACTTTTACATAACTTTTAATTAGTCTATTTTTGTTATAACTGTTGCTTCCTATATATTTATTTATTATTTTTAATATAAATTTTAATAACTATTTCTTTTTCAGGTCCATCTATATACGAAGCTTATAAATGTGTATTAAATAAATGCATATATGTATTTCCTATTTATATTTTGTTATAAAGTACCCCTTTTTATGATAAATTATCTGATAAAACTCCATATTTAAAAGGTTTATATTCGGTTTAAATAATAGGATACCTAGAAATAGTTAAAAGACCTCCTTCTACTAGATAAGAGCTGAAAAATGAAGGGGATTAAGAACAAGAATAGTAAAGAAAACCTTGTTACTTTGCACCTTAAATTATTTTATGTTTGCGTTAATTTAAAAAACCAAATACTTCTTAGAAACAGACAATATCGAAATTTTATAAAGAATTTATTATTTATTCAGTACGTTCGTTTTTGTAATCATCTAAATTGTTTTTTATTAAAGGAGGACGCAAAAATACATTATATGTTAATAATTTAATTTTTTTTGTTAATTTTCTATTTAAAGCTCTAGTTTATTTTAATTTTAAAGCATTTTTTTAATTTTGAGCTTTTTATAATAAAAATAAAATAAGTTAATTTATATTTTTTTTTTATTTAATTTTATATTGAAAACAAAATAAGTATTTAAATATAAAATATAAAAAATATAATTATATTATATATTATATATTAGTTTTAATATAAGAGTATGAATTTGTTTTAATTTGATTTAATTTAAAGAATAATGAAGAAGAATATTAATAATATAAATTATACATTTCTAAAATTTTAATATTAATTGTTATATATTAATATATTAAATAAAAAATCAATTTATCTTTAATATTTATTTAATATTAAAAACTTATTTTTTTTCATTATTTAATATTTAATCAATGTCTTTTTAATTACTTATAGTTTATCTTAGTAATTATTATTAATTAATTGATTAACAATTATTATTTTTTTTATTTTCATTTTTTAAATAAATATAATCACTCTTTCTCATTTATTTTTTCTATTCAAAAAAGTTAGTACTATAAAATTAATTAAAAGTAGTAAATCTCGTATTTCTTTTAAAATATAATTTTCAAAATTTTATATAATTTTTTTTTTAAAAAAAAATTATAATTATATAAATGAAAATTACTATATAAACATATATATATTTTTATTGATTTATACATATATATATATTTATATAATTATATATAATTATATATATTTATTTATATTATTATATTTATATATTATATCTTTTTTTTAATTTTTATTTTATTTTTTATTTTAATTTACCTTGTAAAAGAATTAAAATTATAAAAATTTAAAGATTATTTATGACTATCTGTTTCTGAAAAAATATATTACCTTTTAATATATATATTTGTAATAATATTTATTTTTTTAATATATTAATTTACCATTATTTTTATTATATGAATTATTAATATTTCTATTATATTTAATTATATGTATATTTTGGTATTTATTACTATATTGCCCATGCTTCTAAATTTATTAACTATTTTTTTATATATATTTATTTTTTTTGTTTAAAAAAAAAATGATACAATTAAATTTTATTTTTATTCTAGTTATTCTTCATAATAATCATCTTTTGTTTAAATATAAGATTTCTAATTCATTTTATAATCTATCCATATTCTAAATTTTTAGTTATTTTCTTGAAATCCAAATCCTAGTCCATTTTCATTTAAAAAAGCCCATTTTTTATCATTTTTATTATTTAAAGATTTCATTTATATAAAATTAGGATAAATTTGATATAATTAACATTAGTTCGAACCTTAAAATTATATTTCATCAGTCCATTTTTCATTATTATACGCTCCATATATATATTAAGTACTTTAGTTTTCCTCATTTGGATCTAGAAAATTAAATAATAATAATGAAGGCCCTTATAATTCTAATATTTTTAATTATAAATATATATTTAATTTAATATTTTATTGTACATAAAAGTTTCTCCTTTAAAATTTAAAAATTTAAGCCTAATTCTCCAGAAGTAAATATTTGATTAAAAAAAGTTGTTTTTTAAATTAAAATTTAATTTGATAAAGATAATGGTAATAAATAATTTATATTTAATAATAAGGATTTTTTTATAATAAAGGAAATTAATATATCATAGGCATACCTAGAAATTTATATTCATAATAATTTTTTAATATATCGTTTAAAATTTTATATTTTTCTTAAAAAAATGTAATAATATCTTCCCATGTGTTTATATTTAAATAATCTTTATTTTAAAAATTTAATTTATTTTAATAATAATAATATTATTATTATTATTATTATAATTATTATTATTATTATTATTT